GTTACAGTACACCTCCTTCAACTATTCCTTAGATCATTTCGTTTTGTCCGGGTCCGAGAACAGTTATAGCAAAAATAGGAGGCTAACTTTGTAAGTCGCGCCATTTCCACCCCCGGACCGGACAAGTCATTTTGATGGTAGAAATGCGTTACAGTGCACCTCTTTCAACTATTCCTTAGCTCATTTCGTCTTGTCCGGGTCCCAGGACAGTTATAGCAAGAATAGGGGGCTAACTTTGTAAGTCGCGCCATTTCCACCCCCGGACCGGACAAGTAAATTTGTTGGTGAAATTTGGTTGTAGTACAATCATAGATGATCATAGAATTGTTAGATATTTATTTTTATTAATTTAGTTTTGGGGGCTAACTTTGGGGGCTAACTACACTCAAGTCTACACAGCAGGTGCATATCACGTGTGCACGCCTACGGAAAAAATGTAAACAACTATGTGAAACATTTAGTAAATTTGAAGACAATTGTTTTCCAGTTTTTAAATAAATAACATAAAAGAATGTCGGTTTTGTAGAACGAAGATAGTGTTGCGCTTAAGCTCGAATTTTAGTAATTATAAGTCTCTTAAAACAGGAACTTAACTTTTAATCAAATTATGAATTTGAAAAATGTAATTAAAGTAAATGGTGACAAAAATATGTATCATGATTTCTTTTTTCCTTTGAAAGTTTTATCTCACGAACTATATTTTCAGGTTTATATGGGGGATTTTGATAATAATCTCAATAAGCGCTTGTGGTTACATGATAAGCCGCATATATAACAAATATGAGAAAAGCCCGGTGATCGTCAGCTTTGCCACGAAGGAATCTCCAATATTTAGTATACCATTTCCAGCGGTCACCATCTGTCCAATCTCGAAATCGAATAGGACGAAACTGAACTACACCATGGTCATTAAGAAAAAAATTTCGAAGGAAATCCTGCCTCCTGAAATGTTTGTAATTTCCATATTTTTTAAATTATTGGAATTATTACAGTTAAAAGTTACAAAAGTTTAAACTCAAAATAGTTATAAAACGTTTACAATAACCGTGATTTTCAAACTTGTATGTCACCTTGAAAAGTACGCTAAAATGCTGTATATTTCTTAAAGTTCGGGAACCACTGGTATACATCTGATACAATTTTCAGAGAATTGAGAGCTCAGTATATGTCGTTGGTCTGCGAAAATGGAAGAGAACATTTCCCAAACAATGACACATTCACGGATGATTTCTTTGTCAAACTGGACGAGGTACCAGACAATCTACCTGTATGTCTATAGGGTGATGCGTAAGCATGTTCTGATAATAAAGGGAGTGGTTTGAGATCAGTATAATGGCAACAATTCCTCTAAATGGTTCAGTTTTCGAGAAAAATTCAAGGGTTTGTATCCAATTTCCAATGACAACCAATGACGGAAATTTTATTCGTAATTGCATTTCAGAGAAAAAGTGAAACTGCCGCTTTATTCCAAAAACTTCCGCGTTATTTTAAATTTTTAGTGTAAAATAAACTTGCCACGTAGTCGACTAAGTCAAAAATAAATCTAAAGCAGTAGCAACTACGACGAAATAAAATTTTATTGTTTTAGCATGTTTTTTATGATACGAAAAGCTTTGATTTTAAAAGAATTAAGCATATTTTAAATTTAAAAAAAAAAATAAAAACTCGAATGGCTAATAAAACCAAGGATATCTTTCTTTGAAATGTAAATTTAGGATTTTCATAATTGAGTTAGTTAAGCACCAGAAGCTTCATTAATCTGCCTCAAAAATATGCTACAGATGTAATGTTTTTGTCGCTCTATCCTGAAAACTAAGCGGTTTAAGACAAAAAAGTATTTTTTCCTTTTATTTTCAGAATGCACTTAAGGATCATTCAGTATAAATATACAGGTTTTAATAGCAAAACTTCACCAGGTAAAAAGTTTATCATTTGAACGTGGGTCTTATTTCTTAAAATATAAGATGTTGAAATTAGAAATAAATATCACACTTTCTGAAATATCTCTCAGGATGTTTGACGTAAATGGATGAAACTTGGACCACTGAAATATCTAACTAAATAGAAGTAGAAATCAGCTAAGTTCACTTACAACTGTATCCACCAATAATGGAGGTACAGAGGGTTACCGCCACTAGAGACCCCGGTATTTTGACGCCATTGAATATTCTGTAAACTCGATTAGAATTTTCTTCAAAAAACTCGCATTTTTGGCCACAAAATACGCCTCTGGATTTTAGACCTCTACTTAAGAAACACCCTGTATATGTAGCTTCGCTTTTGCTAGCTTGATCGCTCGTCACAGTCTAATCCTAGCTTTAGAGTATTAGCGTAGGACTGTAAATAGTTCCGTTTTATTCCTGCGTGAAGTCTAAATCTCTCTAGAACCCTGGACATACGTGTCTTCACCCTATCTGCGTAAGTAGTGCCATCTCTGCACTGCAAATAAAAACTGGCGCCCGAGGAGAGGTAACCGCCGCCGCCATCGCTCAAGCGTCATAGTGCCAGACGCACGTATAAATCAGTGACCCAAGTTTTTTCAGCCTAATCAAACACTCTTGGAGATATTTCAGAAAATGTGTTACATTTTTTTTATTTCAACACCATAATTTCGAAAATGAATATAACAGCGACCCACATTCATATAAAATTTTTCACCTAGGTTAATTTTGCTATGTATATCTGCCTACCGCACATTTTTATTTTTTCAGTTGCGTATACCAGTGACCACCAATATACCCTGCATCTTTATGAAAAAAGTAATGCCCTGTGAAAAGTTATTTAAGCCTATAATAACCGATGAGGGAATATGCTATACATTTAACATGCTAGACAGGAATGAAATTTTTAATGACAATGTGTACGTATTGCTTTATAAAATTCAAAACACAGTGAGTGTTCTACAGGTTGAGTAACGAGGAATTTTACATACTTCAAAAGTAAATAGAGTTCATTGAAAGAAATATCAAATACCCAATAAAAAGTCTACGCCCCGTTATTTATATACGGGATGTTTTACAAGGGTCATTTATCATGTTTTGGTAAAACTATACGCTGTTGGCTGTCAATGGATTGACATTCTCAAACATTTAGAAATTCACCCTGTATGCGTTTTTTTTTATGTAACTGGAAATTTTAAAAGTAGACAAATGGGTAGGTAATGTGTTTAACATTTTTGTTACTTTTTTTGTTGAATTTTTTACAAATAATAAATTTTGACTAAAATTGAAAATTCACCTTAAAATTTCTCAAACGTTTATGAATTTACAAAATAAAATGGTATGGACGTATGTAACAAAATTAAAAAACTGAAACTACATAAAATACGACATATTCAGTGTCCACAGAAAAAAGGTTATTAATAAGTTCGAGTGGCAGAAAATATTTAAAAGTACCGATATCTTATCGTCGTCTCTTACATTAGTCTTTATTATCACTTTAGTTTTTCCACAGACAATATAGCTTATCGCCACAGACTGCTACTTAAATGCTGGAAATTGGCAGCCTAAAATGGATGCAGGGTCTCCTTAGCCGGCTTCCAACTAGCGTGGAGTTTCAGTTATGTAATTAAAAAGATAGAAACTTATCTTCTGTTTGGAAATCACATTTGCCTTAAATACTAAATAAAATATCAAGTTAGAATTAAAACTATGAATTTACCTAATTAATTATTTATTTTATATCACCTTGGAATGGGAGAATTCAAAAACTTGAAATTAATGTTTTTAGATTTGTGCGTCGACTTCCAATATGGTACGATATTAACACCTATATTTAAAAAAATTGCATTATCCTTAGATGGGTAGGTACTGCGCTCTCTTATCGTTATTTCTTTAGATAGGTAAAATAATTATTGACACAAGTGTTGCATATCANGTTATTTAAGCCTATAATAACCGATGAGGGAATATGCTATACATTTAACATGCTAGACAGGAATGAAATTTTTAATGACAATGTGTACGTATTGCTTTATAAAATTCAAAACACAGTGAGTGTTCTACAGGTTGAGTAACGAGAAATTTTACATACTTCAAAAGTAAATAGAGTTCATTGAAAGAAATATCAAATACCCAATAAAAAGTCTACGCCCCGTTATTTATATACGGGATGTTTTACAAGGGTCATTTGTCATTTTTTGGTAAAACTATACGCTGTTGGCTGTCATTGGATTGACATTCTCAAACATTTAGAAATTCACCCTGTATGCGTTTTTTTTTATGTAACTGGAAATTTTAAAAGTAGACAAATGGGTAGGTAATGTGTTTAACATTTTTGTTACTTTTTTTGTTGAATTTTTTACAAATAATAAATTTTGACTAAAATTGAAAATTCACCATAAAATTCAGCATTAAAATTTCTCAAACGTTTATGAATTTACAAAATAAAATGGTAAGGACGTATGTAACAAAATTAAAAAGCTGAAACTACATAAAACACGATATATTCAGTGTCCACAGAAAAAAAGGTTTATTAATAAGTTCAAGTGGCAGAAAATATTTAAAAGTATCGATATCTTATCGTCGTCTCTTACATTAGTCTTTATTACCACTTTAGTTTTTCTTTTGTTATACACAGTAAGACTTTTAGACACATTCCCAAAATAACCTTGTTGTAACCTTATTAAAACCAATTTTTTGACCTTTCGAAAATTAGTAACACATTTAACAATTCAACAACAAAGATGTTGTTGGCAGGCAGGTTTCATTTTGAAATTCTATTGTAACTTTTAATAACTTCTTTGTTTTTTTCCTTTGGCTTCTGAATTCGTCTTGTTCTGTGTAGTTTTGTTTTTTTTTAATTTTGTTTTACAGTTTTTCGTTATTGTACACACAAATTTATTTTATGAATTCAAAATAAATATGGAATTTTTATTTGATTTTTTTTTAGTTTTATTAACAAGAAAATTAAAATTATCATAGGCTGCTCTGGAAACTATATAAAATGATATTATTAATGTAACTGAAGTGACTACGACTTGCAATTAAAAATATTTGCTTTTAACAGTTACATTAAATGTATTATTTTATGATAAATTTTCAGTTTTAGTCAAAATTTATTATTTTAACAAATTCAACAAAAATGTCATACACATAGCTTCCACTACCATTTGCATAATTTTAATATTCATTAAAAAAAAATGCATACAGTGTGAATTTTTTTATATTTAGTTTTCTAATTATAAAGTATTTGAGACTGGTCCTGAAATTTCTGGATGTTTGAGAATGTCAGTTGAATGACAGCCCATGGTGTATACTTACTAAAAAATTAGAGAATGTGAACAAACCGTTCTATTATTGTAACGAAAAATTTTTTTTTATTTAAATCTACAAATCTATTTGGTATTCCGCTTAATAAACTCTTTTAATGGTGGAAGTATCTAAAATTCCTCGTGACTCACCCTGTACCTATAATACATCATCCATTTAAATGATTCTAGTGTACATTATACAAATTACCACAAAAACGACGAAGTCAGCAAATGGAATATCGATGATGGGTATCTCGATGCGAACGTTACCACGTTCCCAAGAAGAGCTCTATTTTCAGGCGCTGATAATGCTCTTGAAATCATGCTACCCCAAACAGCGGAAAACATAGACTATTTGTGCGTTAGGGATGTACAAGGATACAGTGTAAGAACTTTTGCAAATCTTAATTCATAAAATTATTATCTGAGGAAGAAATATGCAGCCAACTTTAAAATATACGAGTATGAATGAAATGAAAATGTTAAAAATTAAATATTAATAGCACACACCGCAAAATTCTAAGCCAAATTATACTTGTCTAAAGGTTTTTGAAACGCTGAATCCGAATCCGATTTCAGAATTGTTCCATCACCTCATGACTTCGAGATATTCCAACCGAAAAATGCGAAAGACACGTTATTTTACTGTGTCTGATATGTTACATGACGCGAAAATTTTCATCATCATAGAACTTGTTAGGGCATCTGAAGGTACTACCTTTCTTCTTCAATATCCCTCTGAATGATTCGAATATCTTCTTTCCTCTTCGAAAAATGTCTATCGAAGTTGATTAGATTGGCGTATCGATAATTAAGTAGCATCAGGTGAAGACCCACAAAGGGAGAATAATAAAATTACACCTAAATTCCCATCGGTATCTTTAGGTTGTCGGAGTCGCTAATTACAGAATTAAAAAAATATCCAATACTACACATTTGTAAAAGAAAACAGATATAGAAATTTTTAAATTTCGTTCAATAAAAAGTATCATAAAGTTGTCAGTTGCATCAAAACTTGAAAACTTGACCTTACAAGAATGTTCATAGTTTTGCTTTCGTATCACTTAAATCAATATATATTTTAGTTCACACTACACACCCCTCACACAATACCCAATCCAAAGAAACAATTCTACATTATTCCCTTCGACACATCTGTCGTTGCTGTTGTGCAGCCAAGGATGATGACTACATCACAGGGCGTCAAGGATTACGATCCCTTTGATAGAAAATGTTATTTAGCCAGAGAGAGGCCCTTGAAATTTTTTAAAATCTACTCTCCAGAGAACTGTAGGTTAGAGTGTCTCGCCAACCATACCTTGAAGAGTTGTGGGTGTGTAAATTTTTTCATGCCAAGTATGTTAGAAGAGTATATATATATTAGTTTGTTTTTTAAATTTCAATTAAAATTTTCAGGGGACAACGAAACATCCATATGTAGCAACAATAAATATAATTGCATGAAAAAATCTGAAAGTAAGTCGACTTATTAATGGTACATATTTAGATTGTAGCACAGTAACATTAGAAGTAAAAATCCATGTGAATGAGAGAAAAATTCGTTTGTCTTGTGTCATTTTTATTCCTTCATAGCTTGATTAGGAAATTATAAACCACCATTTCTTTTACAGGACGAATGATGAAACTAGAATTAAGCAACATCATGAACATGACACTCAAAAAAGGCCATGATATATATTGCAATTGCATGCCCTTGTGTACGGACCTTTCTTATGATACAGAGCAGTCGCATACTGTGTGGGACTGGGACGAACAATTGCGAGTATTTCAAGCAGGAATGCCAAAGAAAATGAGAAAATAGTAAGTTATAAAGTATAATGATAATAACGAGCGTTCAAATAAAAACGTGGTCGAAGTTGGCCCTGACACATTGGACGTAGGGAGTGGCTTATAGCGACCAACTTAACCTCATTTCTCAACGAGCTGTATAGCAGCTGTCAGTTTCGATAACGTTAATGACTATATAACTTTATTTTAAAGAATAATCGTGATAACAATAACAAACAATTAAAGCAGCTGCTGAAAGTGTCCCCCTCCTTGTTCCAAGCACTTTTCGCACCTGTTCCTCAAAGAATTAAAGACATTTTCTAAGATGCTCGGGGTATTGTTAATTTCACGAATCTTGTCTATAAGTCGAGCCTGCAGATGGTTTAAATCAGGAATAGGCAGTTCAAAAATAGTGTTTTTAAGGTAAGGCCACAAAAAGAAATCACACGGCGTAATATCACATGACCTCGGTGGAAATTCATGTTCAGCATTGAGACTTATTAGTCGATTTTGGAAAACTTCCCTCAACATATTCATCGTCTCGCCTGCCGTATGTGCCCTTGCGCCATCTTGTTGAAAGTAAAAGTTTGTAATTTCGTTTTCTTCCAGCTGGTTAACAAAAGGAGCGATAATTTCTTCTCTATACCTTTGCGCAGTAAGAGTACCATTAAAAAAAATAGGTCCATAAATCCTCCTTCGATTGAGAGCACACCAAACTCCAATTTTTTGAGCGTGTAGAGGGCCCTCGACAAAAAAGTTATCTGGTTTTTCAGAAGACCACATTCTCATATTCTGTGAGTTTACGTAACCACTTAAATGAAACCAGGCTTCATCAGAAAAAAAGGTGATATTATGAAGTTCACCGTAGTTGTTTAAAAACCATTCACAAAATACAGCCCGTCGCGGAAAATCAACTTCATGAAGTTCTTGCTGACAAGTTAAACGATAGGAGAACAAACGCAAATCTTTTTTTAACACTGTGTGGCAGGTACCGACTGATACTCCCACCATTTGTGATAAAACACGTACAGAAGTTCTTGGCGCATTTTCCATTATTTGTTGGACATTTTCTTTTAATTCTTCAGTCCGCTTTTTAGGTCGGCCGCTTCCTTCTTTTCTTGTTACACTGCCCGTTTCACGAAAAACATTAACACAACGCTGAACTGCACTTTGAAAAATTTTGTACTCAACAACGCCGGGAAATTGATTTTGAAATTCTATGAAACATTCCTCAATAGAATACTTCCATATTCCATCAATCTTGCGTCCATTTCTAAAGTAGGACTCTATGATAAACACTTTTTGTTCTTGAGAAAACACCACTTTCAACGCTTTTTAAAACGAAAATATTCAAATTGATAGCGGCGATATAGCGCTTTGACAGATGACGTTTAAGTTCATTTGCTATACGCTACGCCCTACGTCCAAATTTTCAGAACCAACTTGACCACGTTTTTATTTGAACGCTCGTTACTTTCACTAGTTTTCTTTAGAAATATCCTTTTTTGTACTATTGTGCATATTTGAATTTCAAAGTATTTGTTTATTGTAAAATAAAATCCCCTAATTATTCTATGATATTCTATTCTGTTAATAAATTTTACCTGATTTATACATTGTCGTATCTGCTTCTTTCACAGTATGAAAATGTCGAAACTATCCGTATTTTTCAAACTAGAACATTTCTGGACAACAGAAAGAAATGAACTATATGGACCAACAGACTTTCTGGCCAATTTTGGTGGATTATTGGGACTTTTCACAGGATTTTCGTTGTTGTCACTTGTTGAAATAATTTACTTTCTTACTTTAAGAATATTTTGTAACATCAAAAAATATAAAGAGTGGTCTGGTCTTGCTGAATAGAATGGAAAGAATGAACAGTTTGTCCATTTAAAAACTGTTTAAATCTATGATTTAAAATGTTTTGACGTTGAAAACAAAACTGTCAAAAACAATTAGATGATGATTCAATCAGATTTTAACGAAGAAAAAGTATTCTATTATTGTGTCATAGTTGTAATCATGTAAAAAAAAATTCGTATAAATCCACAAAAAAAATTGTGGTGAAATTTAATAATATTGTTATATGTATACTATAATTTACTTCTACCTCAATGCTGTGTTTGCAATAAAAGGTAGTACGTATTTTGAAAATATTCACGAAAACATATTTTACCACTATGCTGTTTTTATTTATACTTCCTTATAGAAAATAATAAAATATATATGAAGATAAACCTGACATGCACAGTAAGAGTTCTTTGTTACACCTGCTGCTACTATGCCATTGTTATATTAGATTATGTAACTTTAGCAATTTTCAAGTGGACTTGCTTGAAAAACTGGAAGATATCAATACAATGTCAATATTTCTTAGTTATTGGCACCTGTTAACGATCAAATGTAAGTGGAATGGGATATAAAAGGACAAGACTATTAGTCTAGTGTTTTACAAATTCTTTTGTCAACTACACTTAAATACAGTTTTTTATCCTTATGAGTGTTGCTTTTGTAATTTTAATTTATGTAATCATTGTTTAAATAAAGTTTATGTGTAATAATAATTTGCTGTATATATTTTTCCAGTATCTCAAAACAATTTACATTACAAAAAATATTTTAAATATTTCGTGACAGTAAAGTATTAGCAAAAGCTAAAATTTTTAGGTTCTATTCATATTTATTTAACACAAGAATGTGAATATATTTAACGAAATTGGAATAAAATTATACTTACTTACTTTTAGAATACAATTTCTTTGTTGTTTCTATAGAAATTGTGCAAATTGAGAGACATCTACGGAAAATACGAAATTTCAAATTGTGACAACAAATTTGTAGTAATACTGGACGTAAAGTTAAAATAATGTGAATTTTGTATTTATATTAAGTATATGCCTTCTCTCATTATTCATCTTCAGGCATAAAAAAATTTATCTCCCTCATAATTCAAATATTTATTTTTTTCATCCTCACTGACTTATGGTTAAAGATTCAATTTTAAGGTTTTCATTAACATGGTTCCAAGAAACATTTTGAGATTTCTGTTATAGAATATTATCTATACCTAGGGACCCTAATACCACCTGAAGGCGATAATAATATGAAAAACATAACTAAGCTGAGAGAAATAATCACTGTTAAACCCTAAAAAATAATTTCGTTGGTCAATGACCCTAATAACCTACACATTTTCAAATAAACAATCAGTTATTTTTAAAAGAATATGAGAAATTTGCTGGACATTTTTCTGGCACGAAATTATATTAATAAATTTGATTTGTAATTGTCGCCTGACTTACAAATATCATTCTTACTGCTTATTTGTCAGTTTATTTTTGCATATTATCATTAAAATGCCACTTTTTAGTAAAAACAAATATCTTGTTACCGTTTTGCCTTATGAATAATAAAATATATAAAGAACAAAATATATATTACATAAATAAAAATAATTTTTCTAGTCCAGATTAGATTTATTTGCGAATACCGAGTCTAACTAAACTGCCAGGTCAAATTTTGATAGGAGATTCTACATTACAATTATTACAAAATAATAAAAGAGGTTCCTGCGTAAAAATGTATCCGGAAAATCTTGGTCTTTGATTGTTCATAAAGGTATTTCCATGCTACACACATTCTATACGAAGGTGTAGTTTCGGTGTTGAATTTAATCTCATTTTTTTTTCTTACATTATATTTCAAATTTGATTCAGTACTGTAAAGATTTATGAAGAAAAGACTTGGAGATGAGATTTAAAACACTAAAGGATTTCAAAAATATGTTGTTTCCCGTATGTAACTATTGAGGGTTGCTTTCGGTGTGCAGCAAAAATGAAACGCTCTCTCAACGGTAAAATAAAAATATTTTTATTGAAAGTTTAGTGGAAAGAAATGTTGTCAGAGTGAGCGTTCGTTGAAGAGTCCTGGTGTGGAGTCTCTCGCAGGTATATGTATCTGGTCCTGGCGCCAATCTGCCGTGGACCTTTTCCTGGATCCCTGGCGCGTCCCGCACCTGTTCCTTGTCCTTGCAACTGTTAGACCTGGCGCTCTTGACGTAATACTTAAAATGGGTCACTTGCTGACATGTGTACCCACACTATCATTAAAAATTTCTTAAATAATCGTTACAACTCAAATAAACACATTAGTTAATGAAAAAAAATATTATTTGCTAAGCTTCCTCCTACGGTTTTTTTGGCAGTAACTCGCAAGCACAAACTATTTTTATTAATTTGACATTGAATACGCATTTGATGCCTTAAATATTTGGTCAAGTATTTTTATAACATCCTAAATTATCATGACAGTATCATGATTAAAGACAAAAGTGTCATTTTCCATTCAACCATCAATATCTTGGTAATTAATAATCGTACAGAGACTTTTCAAAAACCAAATTGAAGCTGATTAAAGAAGCTAACTGATCTGTACATAGATTGAGTTCGAAAAAATTTTCCTGGGTCCGTGAACAGTCAAAAAAAAAACTAGAAAATTTCGTTCTCGAGATTTCTTTTGATACCTCGATAATCATAGCTCAAAAAAATGTCTTGAAACTAGAGACTTAAAGTTTCAAAACTATTTTTTTTATCTCGACACGGCCATTTTTCGCTACAGCCTCTCAAAATCACTAAAATATTTATGAAATATTTTTATTTCTTTAATTTTTTCCTGCAATCTATTTCAAACTTACTAAAATTAAAACACAGGTATTTTTATTCGCACCTTTTATACGAGTTTTTAATATGTGAACATTAAACGAAATTTTAATTATATGCTTCATAAATGATAATTGTTTTCTTTGAATTAAGTGTCGCATTGATATTCACCCCCTAAATTTAGCGCAAGTGAAAAAATTTATGTCTGGCAGCAGTTCAACTTAAGACCGGCACTAGTGCCAGTGGCACACATATCTATCTGTCTTCACTTCACTGAAATGACGACAAAAATAACTGTCTCTAAATCGTTTAAGACAAAATATATTGCTTGTCTATATTCTTCAACATAACATGTATACATATATACAAATATTTATTAAAAAACGTGGCTGACGATGACGTAGGAAAGTCAAGGTAAACTTCAATGGGCTTATTTTTGGAATCCCGAAATTCGATGGTGCGAGAAGAGGTTTGAAATTTAACATAACAAATCTGCTAAAACTAATGTAGAAGATAAATTGTGTATTTTTAAAATATTAAATTAAGTTGTGTAAGTGTTAAGATAAAGTGTAGAAAAATGGAACTGAGAAATAGGAAAATTTCACCTGAAATTGAACCTAATAAACGTAAATATTCGTGTTTTCAAAACTTTGGGAATTACTGTAGAGAATACTGCAGGGAGGGAACTTTGCATGGAGTTAAATATTTAGGTGAAAAAAGAACGTTTATTGAGAAGTAAGTACCTAGCCAGTTTTTGTAAATAAATGTTAGAAATCAGATAATTTTTTGATCACAGGATGTTATGTGTCTGTTGAAAAGATTTATTTAAGTCAAATATTTCAAGCTTCAATCACAATAATTCTGTTTTTTAATATATAAACTCAATATTATCTTAAATAAACTCAACAAAAAAATTAAAGGAGCAGAAAAATTTCCAAATTTTTTTAGTGATTTTTGAACTTCGTGAATAATGGTCGAGAAAAAGAAAAAAGCGTCTTGAAGCTTAAAGATTCTAGTTTTGAAATCTTGAGATGAACAATTTTTTTGAGCGTCACACACAAGCACAATCAAAAGAAATAATGCAAGATGAAAAATTTAACATTTTCTTTTTCAAAATTGCACAGACTTAGAAAATTTTGAATTTTTTTTCTGTTTGATGAGTATTTAAAGCGAAATTTTGTGAAAAATAACGTAAAAGAATTTGTTTCATCTTAATCATTAATTGATGTTTAAAGATCAATAAACCAGCTCCTTTAATTTTTTATAAAACTTTGACGATTCAGGAAAGGAATAGGGTCCGATCGATTTCAAAATTTAAAGGCCTCATGGGCATGTATTGAGCTACAAACCTACAAACATTGGCACTTTTCGCAATATTTACAAAGTAGATATTGATTTTCCAAACATTTTCCAGAAAAAGTAATTTTTTGGACATTTTCAAATTAATGGAGAGTATAAAATTTTTTTTTTCTCAAACATAGCTAATAGCCCTTGAAGTGGTTTGATTCAGATTTCTAAAAAACACCTTATGTTCGCTGTACGAACATTATTAGTTCATCAGATATCGATGATAAATCTTCAAGCTTCAAGATTATTCTTTCTTTTTCTCGATACGACCATTATTCACGAAGCTATAGTTTTTCAAAAATCACTAAAAAAGTTTGGGAATTTTTCTGCTTTTTTTTTGCTGAGTGCACTCACAAGATAATTTGAGTAAGCTATAAGTATTTCCTTAAATCGAAAATATTCTGTAATATAAAGAAATAATATGTATATGTGTATGTAGATAATCGTTAAGATTACTGGTTTATTTTTAAGTTAGACAAGATATTAGAAGATACAAAATTATTGAAAATGCGATTATTTTTATTGTCACTAATTTTTGTTCATCTTTAGAAAATTTTGTTCTAACAGATCAAATATAAACGCGTTTCAATGAAAATAGTAATTTGTATGTATTTTACTTAAATAAAACGAAATAGATAGATTTTATAAAAGGAAATAAATCTGTAATGATTAATAAGACATAATTATCAAGATTTTTAACCCGTATTTTAATTTAAATTTTTACAGCGAAATTTGCCAACAAAGAAAGTTAACCCCAATTGTAAAACTATACAGGGTGTCAAGTAATGATATTATAGGAAACAACTATTCCACGGGCTATGTGCCCTGGCTAGCATTAAATTACACCCTCAATATCTAGTATACAGCTAAGGCTATTTGTCAGGAGAGTTAGTAGGCATAGACGGGCAAAATAAACTTTTTAATACTGAAAAAAAAAATATGAATATTTAGTTAATAATAACACAGCCCCACAAAAAAAAGGGCCAGGTCCGAAAGACAAGACCATGGTATCCATATGGTTTTGGGGTCGCTGAATCCGAATCCGGTGTCCGTTTGACACGATTAGCTCTGGTTTAAGGTCAGTTCAAGGTCAAATATAGAAAATTAATTGTCAACAAACTAAATCTATGTATCTATACGTTTTTGGGGTCGCTGAATCCGAATTCTTTGTCCGTTTGACGCGATTAGCTCTGGACTCGATCAGATCTGGTTTAAGTTCAGTTCAAGGTCAAATGTAAAGCCATTTATGTTGTTCGTATTTGATACTATGTAAGACTATCCTCAAAATATGGCACTCTTATTTCAATGTGCGTTAGGTTTATAACATCCATGTTTGAAGTGATTTATCCAACAATATCATTGTAGTAACCTAAGGAAAATTCTTCATCGTTAGAAAAATATTCCTTATTTCTGTAGAAAAAAACTTTCACTTTTCCGGCTTGCTTAGTATTAGGAACTCTGCTCCATTCTCTGCCACGCCCAAATCTCGAACATCATTTACTTTTTTTTGTGATATTGTTCCTGTCTTTTCACAACGTGATATGGAATATATTCGTCATCACTAGTATCACTAGCAATATCAGTGATAGTTTCATTGCCACCCAAATTTCTCCCTTATTTAATATCTTGATGAAACCTATCTCTCTGCTCAAACCCAATCAAATTTTTCACTTAGGTTTAAAACCAAAATATTTATATAAGTATCTTTCGTATGTTGATTTACCTATTTCTATTAGAAAGTATGTAATAGACCTGAACGCTTCAAACGGACATCAGATTCGGATTCACCAACCCCCAAAACGTATAGTAGATATGTAAGTTTACTTTGTTTTCAATTGATTCTCCACATTTGACCTTAAACTGACCTCAACCCAGATCTGATTGAGTCAAACGGACACCAGATTCGAATTCGGCGACTCCAAAAACGTGTAAATCCGTAGATTTACACGTTTTTTTACGTTTTCTTAATATCGGTTTCCAAACGAAGGGGTCTATTTCATTTATTTCGATAGTAAATAATACCAAAAATTCAGGAAAATTAAAAATGGTCGGGTCATGACCTCAGTGATTTGGCATAAACATGTTTTGAACGTGTGTCAGATATAACCCATATAACGTATGTCATATGTGATATGTCATAAGTCATAACTTAAAAGTTATTTAAGCCAATGGGCACTAAGTAGAAGTGACATTAAAATGTGACGTATGAGAATACATATGCTTTAGAATTTGTTAATAATTATAATTATCGTTTTTAAGGTTATGGTGGGCCATAAGCATGGCGGTTGCCCTATACCTCTGCGTAACGCTGATCCTAAAAACGTACGAAAAATGGGAAAGATCGCCGGTTATCGTAACATTTGCCACAAAGGAGACACCGAATTTGATGATCCCCTTCCCATCTGTTACGATTTGTCCGGATACAAAGTCCCTTCCGGGAAAGTACAATTACACGAAGTATTATAGAATGTTGAGGGAAAATAAAACTTTAGAGCCAGACATGTGAGTTGAACTACTTCTATTCTAACAAAATATTTAATTTTTATGATTTAATATTGTTACTATTTTTTATTACAGGGAGAAAAAATTTGGATACCTATCGTTGTTATGTGACCGCAAGAATGAAATCAACTATGCCGATTTGAAAGATCAATTAGCTGGAAACCAGTTGTTTGACTTTATAGATGAGGTAATGTTAGGTTTATGTTAAAAAATATAAATAGTAATAGCCACTATTTCGTGAAAGGTGTCAAATCTTAGACCAGTTTACGAAGAATTCAGATAGGAAGTTTTGGTTAACAGCTATTTTTAGATAATTATTATTGGCTATAGTCATTGTAAATATTTGTACAAGGTAATTTAGTTAATTTCACTGCGCTCAAGTTCATATATTTTCTTCTACGATAATTTATACGTTATACTTAATAAAATTACAAAAAATAAACTATGCCACAAATCTTTTTATTACGGCACACTATTAGGAAGATCTTTGTCTTTAATTTTTTTAACTAGACACGCCGAAAATATAATTAAAAGTAAAATCATGTTCTATTTAGAAAAATCCAATACACAGAAATTTTACTTTATTAGCATGGGCGTAGGACAAGGGGGGTGGCGAGCTTGCTGCATGCTGCAAGTTTCAAAAATTACATTATTTTATTAGCCATTCGTTCTGTATAGTTTTAATTTAATTATAAAAAATTTAAACAAAAATAGGTATATTATGTATTTATTTAGTTTAGATAATTGAGGCGTTTATGGTAAAAGAGTTAGATTGAATGAATTTAGGCTACTGTTTGCTTTTGGCTGTTGGGAAGGCTTTTGCACTAAATTCATCGGTTTAACCCCCGGAAAAAATTTAATTTTTTCAAAATGTTCGTAATTTAGATGTACAGGTTTCATCAAACTCGATAGTATGGGCCTACTGTAAGAATACAAAAAATGAGATATTACAATCTATTCTCTATATGACCTCCTCTCATTTCAAGACACATATCCAATCTTCGCCTGACTTCTTTGTGGGCTGGGTTTATTAACATTTCGCCGTTTAACTCATTACAAGCATTTCTGATTTTTTTCTTTCAAATAATTAATATCTCGCGAAGGTGTTTTGTAAACCTTATTTTTTAAACCCCCACCGACGCTCCCTATAAAAAAATCGAAGAGTTTTAGATCTGGTGACTTTCCGGGCCACTGAATAGGTCCATTAAGCCTAATTCATTTTTCTGGAAAATCTAAATATTGCTGCACAATCCTGGCCTTATGGGGTGGAGCCCCGTCATGCTGAAACCATAGGTTTCTTCTTAGCTGCAAAGGCACATTCTCCAGAAGTGCAGGAAGTTCTTCCTGTAGGAAATTTAGGTAACTCACGCTGTTCAATGTATGTTCACAAAGATAAGGCCCAGTTAAATGCCTACCGATGATGCCGCACCAAACATTTACTTCAAAATGGCCTTGGTTTTGTACTGGATTTACAATGTGGGGATTTTTAATGGACCAGTAGTGTTCGTTGCACCTGTTTGGCAAACCATTACTGACAAACCGACTTTCGTCCGTCCAAAGAACGTGCCGAATAAGGTTCTGATCGACAGTTTCTACATTAACTTCAATTTGAATTATAAAATTAAGTCTGTTTTCAATGTGCACGCTCAAGCAAATACTCCAAATTGTGAATTTTGTAGTCATCATACCCATTGGTCTTTAAAATTCGTTGAACGGCTGATTTATCCAAATTCTATTCCCGGCTAGCCTTCCGTATAGAATTTCGTGGATTTTGTTCGAAATACTGTAACGGTCTAGCTGTATTAACATTGTTTCTTACCTTTCGGTCAATTATTTGATTTATCCGAACAGAAAATGCATCTTCATTTCGTCGCAAGGTCCCTCCAATCTTGTAAAGGTTCTACGAGGTGTGACAATTAAGTAACGAGGCTGATTTTATTACCGCGCTTGTGGTAAACCTGCGACCTTGAAACTCCCTTTCCCCTTCCCCGGCAACCTTCATTTTCCCTTGATATTTTTACCATCACTCTAGCTTGTTTAGTTCGCCTGCTGTGTCGTGTTCAGTAGACGTGTGTTGGTGATGCTTGTCACGAAAATGGAGAAGCAAAATCTAGAGTAACGCGTCGCGATAAAATGCGCCAGATTGAGCGAAACAGCTTCGGAAACATACGCTAAAATGGTAAAAGTGCATGGTGATAGTGCTCTCAGTCGTGCCCGGTTGTTTCGATGGCATAAAGAGTTTAAGGAGGGGCGTGAAAGCGTGGAAGACCAGGCGTGGAGCAGGAGACCAGTCGAGGTGCGGACTGACCCGAATGTGCAGCGAGTGTGCGCCCGAATCCGTGAAGATTGGCGTTTAACAGTTCGAATGTTGGCCTCGGAACTGGGTATGAACCGTGAAACAGTCAGACAAAGTTTAACCGACGATTTAGGGATGAAAAAGTTGTGTGCGAAGATGGTTCCAAAGAACCTTTCTGATGAGCAAAAGTGGTATCGAATGACCGTCGCAGAAGACTGGAGCAAGTGGAAAACGATCTCACGCTGCTTGATCGAGTTATTATAGGCGATGAGAGCTGGTTTTTCCAATACGACCCGGAAACCAAACGCCAAAGCTCACAATGGTTGTCTCCGCACTCCCCCCGTCCGAAAAAAGCTCGCATGAGCAAGTCGAAGGTGAAAACGATGATCATTACCTTTTTTGATAGCCGTGGAATCGTACACAATGAATTTGTTCCACCGGGGCAAACCGTAAATCAAATCTACTATCGCGAAGTACTCGAAAGATTGCGAAAACGAGTCAACAGGGTGCGCCCAGACATCGCAAACAACTGGATCCTTCATCACGACAACGCGCCGTGCCACACCGCCCTCAGCGTGTCCCAGTATTTGGCCTCCAAAGGGATCACCGTGTTGCAACAGCCACCTTATTCGCCCGATATGTCACCCTGTGATTTTTTTCTGTTCTTCTGTTCCCTAGAGCAAAATCGGTGGTCAAAGGAATCCATTTTGAGTCGGTTACGGACATCCAAGAGACCGTGACGAGGGTACTCGCGGACATCCCAGTCGAAGCCTTCCAGAAATGTTACGAAGCATGGAAAACCCGCTGGAATCGTTGTATAGCTGCCCAAGGGGACTACTTTGAAGGGGATGGCAGAGTTGTAGAATAATTTTTAAATATACGGTTTTTATGGGATCAGTCTCATTACTTAATTGTCACACCTAGTATGATCAGGAATGTGGCGCTCTGGATACCTTTCTCGATATAGCTCTACAGCTCTTCTTGAATATTTTGTGACTCGCCGTAAATTACATTATTATTACATCAACTTTTTCTGAACATTTTTGTAAGCACAAAAGTTATACGTTTGACGTTCGTATTGAGTAATGACAACTATTTTGTGACATTTATGCACTTTAAACAACGAACATTCAATTATTTTCCAACGACTGCTTGATTATTTCACCGCTGATGTGATCATTTCAGAAGTAATACAGAAAAATTTCTCTAATAAAAGTTTATTAGAAAAAAGAGAGCTTTTTATCAGGAAAAAAAAATTGGGTATGTTTCTGGAAAAAATGTAATTGATGACGTCATTAGTCGTTTCTGTCGAATCCCAAAGAAAATACTTTCGATTGAAAATGGAGCTTACCTCATCTCATTTACCATCACGGGTCCCAAATTTTATTTAAATTTTTCATATTCTCACAGTAGGCCCATACTATCGATTGTGAGACATCCTGTAATTGTGGCGCCATATCACACTTTTTGTCACTGTTTTTAGATTTGATAAATTACTACATAACTTAAATATATAAAAATAATCATAATTTTCACGCTAAATGTGTGCTGGATGTTTACGATGTTTCACAGTGCTTTGATGTCGCCTTACAGGATCTGATTTACATCTTTGTTTTTTCATTCATTAACACAATTTATTTATTATGTAGTAACTATTTCGTCTTTATTACATTTAAATCACTGTTCTTTATACAAGGCGTTTTGGAAAAAGTACCATAAATTGAAGGATGATAGAATATAACATATTGAGTATATTTTTCCTTAAGGACCATGGCTCTTTTGTCTCCTGTTTTCGTAGTCCATGATGATTTTTTTAAATCAAACTTAGGCCGTATCATTTTCAAAATACAATGTAATAAAATTCAAAAGAAGTAAATGTTGGTATATGAAAAAATAAAACACGGTTTTGTAGAGAATTAGAATACCTTTCAAACAATATATCGCTTAACCCTCCTTTCATTAATATTTTTTTTGGGGAGGGGGTCGTACCTACCTAGGAGGGTAGGGTCTGAAACAAGGAATTTATGTGAAAAGATGTCTCAATTCAATCAAAAATCGACCTGTCTCCGCGTTTTTCGGAAAATTAATTTTCCCGAGAGTTATTCGCTCTCTTTCATTTGCAAGACACCACCCTGTATAACATACTCTATAAAAAACCTAACATGACAAAATGTCTGAGAAAGACTAACAACCTCTAGCAGATGATCAAAAACTCCTGTGATTAGTAACCTGAAAACCTTATCTGAACCAAAATTCAAAACATTCCATTTTTTTTGGAAATGATATGGCTATAAATTCAGGGGAAAAATTGTATTATTTTTTGAAGTTCTATAAGCTTCTGAATTTATGATACCTTTTGCAAAACACTGTGTATTGATTCAATTATAATACTTAGGTATCCCCGAAATTTTCCGACATGATATCCGAGTGCAAGTTCATGGGTGTCGAAGAAAACTGTACAGAATTATTCTTTCCAATAATTACGGACGAAGGTCTATGCTATACCTTTAATTTACTAGACAGGTCACAACTATTAAGAGATGACGTGTAAGTATATTTATCATTTCAAGTTATTGTCACAAAGAAATTTACATAACTCCACAAATTTTCCACCCTACAATTAATTTGGACATGCTCCCAAAAATATTGTCAAGGTTCCACTATATCGAGCTAGCCATTTTCTTGGAATTTTGGAAATCATACAGGTTGTCCCAGAAATAAATGTCAAAATTTTAATCATGCATTTAAGCAATAGATTAAGTTTAATAGCTTTTTAAACTGAACATTTTTGTTATCCGCTACTAAAGTAATCTGGAAAGGCTTATTTAATCCATAGACTGCTCGTTGGGACTATTTTAATGAGTTCTAAATACTTGACCAAAATGGGAATATATTTGGCACTTATTTTTGGGATACTCTGTACTATACAGGAGACAACGGTTAAACGGTTTTTAGATCATTATCTGTTACTAACTTTTTTATTTTCACAAATTCTCGAAATCTAAAAAACGCTGTGTAAATTTGTAAAATCAGCATCAATTCCAATTTTTTTTCTTATGCTTGCAATATTGTATTGCTATAAGGAAAGAGCATTTTTTAGCGGTATCGTAAGTAGGAAAAATCATTAACGTGCAGAAAAAATATGAGAAAAGGAAAGTTGCTACGGTTTTCAATACCGCAACGTTGAACAAACAATTTTAGTTGATATCCTTTGCAAAAAGAGGTTATAATAATCTTTTTGCAAATGCAAAAAATTCATAAATTAAAAAAATTACAGTAAATTATCGATGTAATATTTTTTTTATTTCAAAATATCTTGAAAATCCAAATAGTTAAAGCCAGTCCATGGGTGCCAATAAGTTAATAATGGCCTAACACTTTCCTATATTACTGTTTTCTTATCTCTTACAAATTCTAATCCTAACACATGCACCACCAAATAGCCACCACCAAAATATTGTTCTTTTAGTGTAATATATAAAGATTACCACAAAGCACCACGGCTATCGAATTGGACAATACAGTATGGATATGGAGAAAATGATTCCTTGATAACATATCCGAGAAGGGCGCTCTTTTCAGGAGCCATATTTGCCTTAGAAGCCAAATTGAAAATATACGAGCAAGATTTGGATTTTGCATGTGGGTCATCGGTTCAGGGATATAAGGCAAGATTATTATTATACAACCTGTAAAATTATAACCACTCAACTGCACAATGTTTCCTAAAATATATATCTAATTCTGATCATACATAGGAAGTATATTTCTGTCTCCAATTCAAAAGAAAATAACGTAATTTTACATGAATCTCACGCGTAAATACCTATTCATAAAATTCTTGTAAGTGAACTTTTGTCTAAAATTAAAAGAGAAGAGCATATACAATATAGCATATACATACAATATATTAAGAATTAATATTTTCCTTAGAACTTATGACCCAAACATTTTCTCAGGTGCAACTATCACATCCTGCAAGGATGCCAAGGCCGAAACAGCAGCACTTCAGGATACCCCTGAACCACGTATTCCTCTCAGCTGTGACACCGGATATGACCACTACTGCGGACGCTATAAAAAGCTACAGTCCTCTGAAGAGGAACTGCTACTTTCCTAACGAAAAATCTTTGAAGTACTTTAAAGTGTACTCTCAACAAAGCTGTCAAATTGAGTGTAAAACTAATTACACCCTGAATGAATGTGGATGTGTAAATTTTTACATGCCTAGTAAGTGTTTTTAATATACAACCAATTTATTATGTATTTTTATGATAATAATAATTATTACTTTTCACTAATTTACTGACATAAGAATTAGTAACTTTAATTTTAATGCTATACAAAACAATAGTTTTATCCTAAGTATTATATTATTATATTTATATTTTTTTGCGATTTTGGTTCAGAAAAATTACACTGGTACTATTCCATGCCACACTATGTATTTATTCATATTATTCATTGAAACCAAATCTGTCATGAAAAATGCTCCATCTTTAACCAGTTTCTTTTTAATTACCAAAAGAAAAATACTTATAAAACTGCACCGAGAATGCAGTAAATCAGTACAGCGATAAGTTATGCCGGAATGAAAATAAATTTTAGTTATTTATAATGTCATTTTTCACAGCAACATCACCAGCTACTATTGTAGATCTGATTTACATGTACTCTTTTAACAATGACACCAAATAAATGGATTCGTAATAATATTGTACGAAACATGTTTTAAACTTGTATTATTCTGCACACTTATTAAGCACGTAGTCTAAACTAATGCAATTACTATTGTCACTTTGCTATTAGTTGCATAAACTTTTATTTTGGTTTACAGAAATAACTGTGTATACAGTTTTAAAATAGTTAAATAAGTCTTAACATTGCCATTAATATAATTAAAACATGTTTTTTTTTTTTTCAGGAAACAATGAGACGAAGTTTTGTACAGGCAGTAAAATCGCATGTATTTACGATGCTGAAAGTAAGTAATCGTTGACATTAACATATTGATTACACATTGATTATTGACTTCTTTGAGCTTTACAAAAAAGGGAGATTTATCAAACTAATATATCACTAATGCCAGTCACAACTTATGCAGTGATAAGTCGTAAAAATGTATTTGTCAAATCAAACTGTGTCAAATCCAACTGCCACATAAAATTTTTAAATATTTTCTTCACATACTAAATTTGAAGAAATAAATGAAATAAATGACTTTCCCAAGTACCCTTCCGGGCGTTGAATTTCCTATATTTCCAACCTTTCATATGTTTAATGTTTTCCTGTTTTTCATTATTTCTTTCATCTCCTTTAATGTCTTCTTTCTTCTTTTTCTTGCCTCCGCTATTTGTTGTATCCATTTCTTTAGTAGTGTACTCTTCCTCATTTTTTATACATTTTACTGTTTGATGTACTCCCATTGTTATTCTGTTTGATTGCATCTTTATTAAATATCCATACCAATTCATTTACCTCTTTGTTATTTTATTCCATATAGTTCTTATTTTAACATTTCTTAGTCAATAATTGCTTCGTTTCTTATTTTGTGAAACTTTGCCTTCACAATTTTCTCAAGTTCTTCATGTCTATTGCGTTTATTTTACTACTGTTTCTTTCGCATTGTCCAACTCTTACTGGCGTAAAATGTGGTTGGTATAACTATCGTATTATATATTATTAGTTTCGTTTCTTTTGTCAATTCTCTCCTTTGAAGTGTTTTGTTTTATTATATAGCATAGTTTATATGAAATTTTCACTCTAACTGCTATCTTTAACTCTATTTTCCATCGTCAATAATAATGTTTATCCGTTATTCATAAGTTGTTAATATCTCCAACTCAGTTTCCTTGGATTTAACCAATATTTAGCTTTCTTTAATGTTGATTTCTTTTTTCAACTGTTTTTTTTTTTGTTCTAACCATTCAGGTTTTACATTATTACTGCAGAATCCTTTACCACCACAATATCTTCCGCGTATATCAGAATTTTTACCAGTTGTGGTCAGTTATTGTCTGTAGTTGTTCTGATATATAATTCTGGTGTTCCTCATTAATTCATCCTTTACAATTATAAATAACAATGGGCTGAGAGCATCCCTTTATTTAATACCATTTTCCACTCAAATTATTCCGATCTTTCTCCTGTTATTTGAACTTTACTACTTTATACATGAATTCCATTTATCCTTCGTCCTGTTAGATATCTCAGTATGTCTATGTATTTTTCTTTCTCTACCATCTATCTTAGCCTCATATCTATTATTCTTAAGTGCGTTCTGAGGATAAGATATTGCACTGTCATTCTTACAATATATGAGCTCTCTTTCTTTTCGATGGGTACCATCAGGTTATTTTTACGTTTTGCTTAATTTAGAAACTATAATCGATCTAAAATTCAATTTTATCTACCTTTCGATTCTACGTACTTTTTTCTTTGTAGAGGCACTGCTCTTCTCATGGATGGCTAAGAAACTGGAAGCGATACACGAAGGCAAGGTCGCCCAAGATATGTGTGACTGTCCACCAGTTTGCACGTCAATGTACTATAACGTGGAAAACTCACAAACTACCTGGGATTGGAAGAGGCATTATGATCCTGAAAATGGAACGTACGTGACCTCAAAGTTTTTTTAACTGTTTCATTAATTTTTCTTTCCAGGAAACACATGTCGCACTTCCAAGTATTTTTCAAGAGTAGTCAATTTATAACTATGGAAAGGAACGAACTTTTCGGCATCACCGACTTCTTGGCAAACTTTGGAGGCTTGCTTGGACTCTTCATTGGATTTTCCATGCTATCTCTAATAGAAATAATTTACTACTTAACACTGCGAATAATTTGTAATATCAAACTCTTCGGAATTAATAATTGGTCAGGACGAAAAGAATAAAATTACTCTTCATGTTTGTCTTAAACATTTGAGCGGGTTTTGCATGAACTTGCAAATGTCCGTAACTATTTGGCGGCTTTTCAGGAACCGAGAGTTGAACCGTCGGACAACATGACAAAGCGAATTGATGCATTTTTATTAATATAAACCTTTAGATTTATAATATACCGGATGTTTCTAAGTAATATTAAAGCAACTCATTTGAGTACATGGCACTGAAATTATTTTTTTTTCAGCCTTTTACGATGTATTTCATAAAATGATTCATTGTTTTTTCAATTTTTTTAATGTAAGTGCTTCGTAAGAAGACATGTCCTAGCAACAATCTCAATGTGTCACAGAGCCGTAGCTGTAGGAACTAGCGCCTGCGTTATTGATATAATTCATATAATCATATGCACATTTCTATTTTCGGCTTTATTTCAGGGCTATTATTTAGGTATACGTTGTGTTTCACTTTTCATATCACTCTTATCTGAAATTATATTTGCAAAGCGCTTAATGTCATATAACTAAATTTGATTTTAGTCATAGTTTTAGTAATTGTTAAATCAAAATTATTAGAGATAGTTATACTTTTTCTTTCACATTTTATTTTCGTATGAATCTTTGAACAAATTTAGTCGACAAGAATTTAGTGTAGATATCCCTAAAATTTGGAAAGTAACTAAAATGCTTGCCAAACTTTAAGCCCAGATTCTTTATAGCAAATTAATAAAAAAGTTTCTGCACTTAAACATGTGTTCGGAAACACTATGTATCATCATTTTTTTTTAAAATAACTTGCTGCCATAACATTTTAAGCAATAACTACCTACACATGGCATAGCGACATGAGACAAGAAAATTTTTTTAAAGTCTTAGTACTTTATCACTACAGTGGAAATTACCAAGTCCACCTCCTAAACTAAAGAAATGTGACACGTTCATACACTTGTGGACAATCAGAAACTATAGGTATTCTGTCCTCAAAATGAAACATTTCTAGATGTGTGTTTAAAAGACTGTTTTCATTAATTTGTTACATAAACTCCACAAATAAAGTTTAGCAAAGCATTTTAGTTACTTCCTCCTTGTATAAATTTCAAAATTATACAGACTTAGGATGAGACCTATATATTCAGATCTTTAGAAACTGAATCAGCCATAGAAACTGCACGTTCACCCTCCAACATTTTCTTAAATTGCAGTAAGTTTCCGTGGGCACAGACGAGTCTACACATCATATTTGTGGGGCCTGTTGCATATTTTGAGTATTCAAACATTCAGTCAACTCTTGCAATCGTTCAGATAAAATTCTACAATCGGCAAATTCAAACTACAACAGTCACATGCAGAAAATTGAGTGATACGATTTTTTCAATAGACCATGAACATAAATTGCTAACACACAGACACTGCATAAAGTAAGATCTATTCGCCCCATACACGGACATATGTGTACGAAGAAAAAATCACTCCTGTAGCCCTGCAGTACTAAATAAATACCAGAAGCCCCCAACTGATTAAGGCTCCAGAATCTGTGAGAACTTTACAATTAGAGGGCTTCTTTTGGATGCAGCACTGAAAAGGAGTCTATCTGGAGTTAGTATGAAATCTCTGAATATAGTTGTAAATGGATCAAGAAAATCGACTCGGTTATAAAACTATACCTTAGAGGCTTTTTTATTCGTTTTATTTTATCTTCGAACCATGATTATTTTTTTCCTTCATTTTATATTTTAGGTTCTTTTTAACATCAGGTAGTAATTACTGGAAAATAAGTTTTTTAAGATTTTAAAGATGGCTTTTGGCAATTTAAAAACAGGAGAACGATGGGGCAGATTCGGTTTTGGCAGTCCAAGTACGTTGGTACATGGGTCCCATCTGTGGAACCTACCACTGTTTGTGTGCATGTATTATTTTTTTAGATATTTGTAATGAAATAATTAACTGTGTTTGAAAACATTATTTCTTTAGACGTTACTTCATGCAGTTAATATAATTTTTAATATAATTAAGATTCATATGTATAAGAATAAACTCTTTATTATTGTAATTAGGTATATCTTATAAAATGTCGTTTCCATTTTTTTAATTAAATAAATGTGAGTGTAAATTACTTTGTATCAAGTTTATTTCTAATAGAAAGAGCTCGGAACTCGGTCGGATGATCATAGCCGTCGCGTCGGCCTTTCGCTACAGCCCACCTTATGAAACCGGTAATAACGGCAATTATTGGCTTCGCGTTTGCTTCGTGTATACGTGTTATATTCTAATAATTTCGATCGCGCCATGAAGTAAAAAACGACCTTTTGCTGATAAAATACGCAAATTTATTTATTTTTATTTATACCTACCTGTTTATTTATTTGTTTACAACGGACACGCCTATGATTAGCCGACGAAAACCCCCAGCTTTACTAATAAATATGTAGTGGGGATCATTTGCAAAATCTGTTTATAGCTCTTGGAATATTTTACATAGACAAATGAGCACTATTAGAGTATTATTAAGGCTAATCCTATTTTTAAAAGTTTATGTTATAGTCTTCCTTAGCAAGTGTACTTAAACATATACAAAATGGCATAAATTTATTTTACACATGAACAAAGTTAAATAACATCAAATTAATCTCCCGCGACACAAATTACTGGCAACAGCATTAGATATAAATTGGATCCATCACCACAAGATTTATATTCTAGTGGCGGTTTAGAATAGTAAACACATAAAATGTAAACCTATAAATAAAAATCTCGAGCACTTGTAGTTATAAATTTAAATTTCGAATTCCAGGACAGAAAATTATCGGAAAAAATAGATAGTTGTGATTTGTTGTTAAAGCCGAGCATTATTACATTTTTGTAGAAGTTTTGTTAGTTTTACCTATTTTAGTCACTGCACTGTAAATAAATCGGTCTGAGTGAAAGCTTAGTGAATCCATTGAGTGAAATTATTAAGTACATTTTCAGTCAGTATTGGGCATATTGATAATTTTACATTTTTGATAATATTTGAACTAAAAGTGATAATTTCACTCATAAAATTCTAGTTGTAACCACTCATACTAATAGAGGAAAATTTCACTCAATCGAGTGGACAGAAATTGATACATTATTCAGTAAAATTAAGTGAATTTTAGTTGTGTTTTAAAATTTAAAAAGATTTAACAGACATAATTTAAAATAGGCAGTATTAATTTACAATCCAAGGTAAGTTCAAACTAGAGTGACCTTTCACATTTTCAAGGATTTTAAAGCTCCTGTACAGAGAAACACAACGATGATCAAGGACAGATTTCCTCGCCCATATTTTTATCTGGGCAAATTAGACCGAACACAATACATGCCTGTGTCAAAAATTGAACCTACCTCGAATTTTATGGGCTTAAAATTAAGTAAAAAATACACAGAATAAAAGCCTAAATTTGTGTATTTGTAGAAGTCAAGCGTCATATTGTTTATAACAAAAGAAGAAAAGATAACTGCTCTTTTTTCAGTTTTTCCCTTATATATCCGAAAATAAGCCTCTAATCGACATGAGGTATACTTATCGATTTTGTTCCTAAGGAAATTTGCTATAGGCCTGCAAAAGAAAACGTGAAAAGTCAATAAATATGTATTTTTCGGGGTAATGATTGGCAATGACTTTCACAGACTTTTGCTTACACCATTCGAAAGAGCGGAAAAAAATAAGTTGATTAAAAAAAAGCATTACGGTAGCTGCTTTCTAAGTGCGACAATCCATGAATTTTGTGAAGCCGAGTGTAGCAAGGGCACTATGACGTCACAACACTCCCCTCTCCTGGCTACATCTCAGCTGCTTTTAACGAATGTTTACTGATGATTTGGTCGATCGTTTAAAAAAAAATCAGCATATAAAGGAAGTCTCCTTCTTTACATCGAGCCAAATTTATTACAAAATATTAAATTGAACACGCAGAATACCGTTTTTAAGAAAAAAAATTATCTAGTAGGCCGTCATTTTGAAATAGGGGGTCCGGTTTGCGGGTATTTGTTGAGCACCCCAACAGTTATCTTTTTCTGTAGTTTCATCCAATTTCAGTCAAATTTGTTCTTTTTTACTTAATGCTGAAAATTTTGCACATTTTTTTTCACCGGTAATTTTGCAATGTAAAAAAAAATTGCGAGCTTTCTCAAATGCTTATCCTTATAGCAAATTTCCTCAGGAACAAAATCGATAAGTATACCTTATGTCGATTAGAGGCTTATTTTCGAAGATATCAGCGAAAAACTGAAAAAAGAGCAATTTTTTTTTTGTTATAGATAATATGAAACTCGACCTCTACAAATACACAAAATTAGACTTTTATTCTGTGTATTTTTTACTTAATTTTAAATCCATAAAATTCGAGGTAGGTGCGATTTTTGAAAAAGAACCTCAATTCGCCCGGACTATTAAAAATATTTTCTTATTTAAACATTTGCCCTGATATTTAGAATGTTATACTCGGCATTACAGTTTTCAAAAAAAAAATTATACCATTAAATATCTTAACAAATGAAGATGTCAAAAAATGAGCATCCATATCGAATAGTTCAAAATCGCAAAACATTTTTGAATGTCTTGTAAGCCAAGAGAATATTTTCGTTCAAAACTAAATACATATCAAAAACGACAAAAATGTATTTCCTGTTATCTATCATAACTTTTTAGAAAAATTTAATTACCTTTCTCTATATCTATGCTTAGGCAACCAACATTGCAGGACTCGCACTGGTAACGTAAAATTTCCTAAATCTTGGCGTCACTAATATTATTGATTCGTTTACAATGAACAATGACAAACCGTTACGTTTACGATTGAAATAATACGATCGCTAATTGGTTTAATAGAAACTCGTGAAAAATTACACCAATCACAGCTGGTGAAACAGATTGTTGTATTTTAATGTAATCTTGATCTTATTTTTAATTTCACCGAAAAATTGCCAACATGCAGGAAACAAAATTATGTACTGTTCCAAATAAAATTATTGGTTATGTGGCTTGTAATCAGTTATGAAGGCTATATTCTATATAAAAAATATTATATACAATAATATTGTTTCAATATCCACATTTTGTTAGAGGATAAAGGACCCCGCAATAATCTTATGGAAATTGGGTTTCTGCCAAATTGTCTGAATTTTTGATATGTTGTAGATTTTGTCATCCTGAACAAAAGTCTCCATGGGCACAAAGTGCCAAAATGAACATTTTGGCAGCTACGGAGCTGCCAAAGCTCCCCTGACCCGTTGCAAAACTATTCATTTTCAATACTATTTACAGATGTCAAAAGCATATTTTAATTATTCTAATATATAGGGTAATGTTTTTGAGGTCACTGGATTCAACCCTCATGTCAGATTGGACAAATTGACCGTTGACAGCTGTCAATACACTGTCAACGAAGAATAGAAAAGTAAATATTCTCTTTTCACATTGAGAGTTTGGGCTTTTGAGGGAGCTGAATTCAATTCTCATGCCAGATTGGCAAAATTGACAGTTGACAGCTGTCAATTGACTGTCAACGAGGAATATAAAAGTAAATATCCTCTTTTCAAATTGAGAGTTTGGGCTTTTGAGGGAGCTGAATTCAATTCTAATCTCAGATTGGAAAAATTGACAGTTGACAGCTGTCAATTCACTGTCAACGAAGAATAGAGAAGTAAATATTCTCTGTTGACATTGAGAGTTTGGGTTCTTGAGGTCGCTGAATTCAATTCTCATGCCAGATTGGAAAAATTGACAGTTGACAGCTGTCAATTCACTGTCAAAGTAGAATAAAGAAGAAAATATTCTCTTTTGTTATTGGGAGTTTGTCAACTACCATTTTCTCCAATTCTAAAAAGAATTGAATTTAGCGAGTTGGCCAACATAAACTCTCAATGTAAAAAGAGGATATTTACTTTTATATTCCTCGTTGACAGTCAATTGACAGCTGTCAACTGTCAATTTTGCCAATCTGGCATGAGAATTGAATTCAGCTCCCTCAAAAGCCCAAACTCTCAATGTGAAAAGAGAATATTTACTTTTCTATTCTTCGTTGACAGTGTATTGACAGCTGTCAACGGTCAATTTGTCCAATCTGACATGAGGGTTGAATCCAGTGACCTCAAAAACATTACCCTATATATTAGAATAATTAAAATATGCTTTTGACATCTGTAAATAGTATTGAAAATGAATAGTTTTGCAACGGGTCAGGGGAGCTTTGGCAGCTCCGTAGCTGCCAAAATGTTCATTTTGGCACTTTGTGCCCATGGAGACTTTTGTTCAGGATGACAAAATCTACAACTTATCAAAAATTCAGACAATTTGACAGAAACCCAATTTCCATAAGATTATTGCGGGGTCCTTTCAGATAACATATTTTTTTGTTAAACAATTAAATTAATTTAGGAATACGTAATCAATAAACCAGTCATTTCTATTAATAAAGAAATATCTGCAGAAGAGTAAAATTGTAATGACAGCTCTTTTAATATGCATATAATTTATATAATGTCTTCTCATAAATAAACATAACACGCAATGTAAAATTGAGTTAAATCATCCTATAGAGGGTGGACCCATTTGCATTGTCAGGTAAAGTATTTCAATTATGAAGATAATTTAATAATATATTCTCTCTAATTATCCGTTTGTGATGTTTTTTTACTCGTAGTATTGTTATTTTATTGAATCAGTCTTTTAGTTATGTAATAATGAAGTTTGAATAATTATAATTACCTATTCCTATTTGACTAGCATTATATTAGGTGTACTCGGTGAGAAAATACAAAGAGAATACAACGGGTTCTCATTAGTGAATTAAGTGGTAGGTGCTACTAAAAATATTGTCTTTTCCAATAATTATTTTTGACAATAACCATTGCACTGCAATTTGCTGAACTTTTACAAAAGATTATTCAATTTTGTTTTGAAATAACTCAAATAATTGATTGCAATTAAATCAGGTCAGTTAGACACACAAAAACATTCGAACAAAAAAAAACTCTCCTCGTCGAATATTGAGACACCGTGTACAATTATTTGGTTTTGCTGAGATCGCTTCTTATAATGTTCATTATAAAAT